TTTAAAAAAAACATGTAATATGATTATATATAGTCATAGCAAAGAAAAAAAGAATATAAAAAATATTTTCAAAAATTAAATTTATAATATTATGATTGAAATCGAATTTAGAGTTATATTATACTTAATTTTTTTAAAGAAATATAGCTTTACATAAATGAAATAGAATGAATGTGAGTATATATATAAAAAAAAAACACTAAATTACATTTTAATTCTTCTATAATATCTAATATGCAACTATGGTTTTCAAATTTTAAATTTTGCAATTTTTTCTCTTCAATTTTGTATAATTTATTATTATTTTTTTCTACAGTAGGAAACTGAATAGCGAAAACAGAGAAGAAACTAAACTACAAAAAATGAATCAAGTCCCTAGAGTTGTATGCCATGTGGTGAAATTTGACGCATTTGTAGCTCCCCAAGAGGCCAACACATCAACTGTATTGTTGGTTTGTCTAACAACTACTTTAAATCTCACGGTCCAATCTTTATTGCAAAGACAAAAAATCTCATGAATGAGATCATTGTAAATATGTCAAGCTCTTCTGTAAACCAACTTCTCCTCAATGGCTCTAATTGCATTGATGCAGTCGGATTCACAGACACCAAACTCCTCAATTCCCAACAGTTAGATAAGCCATGTTTAATGGCCAAAACCTCAGCTCGTAAGGGATCTCCTCCATTTGCCTGACCTACAAAGCCTGAAATCCAATGGCCAACAGCGTCCCTAATCACTCTTCCATATAGTCCATATTTTGTTGGTTCCTGAGCCAATTGTCATCCACGTTCAATTTATAGCAGAACCTTCTAGGATTAGCCAATGGTGGTCATGTCCAATATTCTTTTTGAGTATTTTCTGTTAGGTCCAGAGTAGGCTTAATAGTTATTCACAGCTCCATTCAGAACGGGCCGTTCCGGTTCCAGTTTTACATCATTTTCCAGGAACCGAATTTTGAACATGAACAGTAAAAGGTTCTATTTGGGTAAATAAAGTGGTACAGATGCTTTTTTGGTAAATTTTTTTTTTAAAAATTTTATTTTAGTAAAAAATTCCTCAAACGTAACTGCGAAGCAGTCATTCACAGACGCGTGGGTCCAAGCGAACATCTCCAAGTACTACCCCGCCACGCAGATTGAAACCATCGCTGTGGGCAACAGTGTTCGTGGACCCCAACAACACCACCAAGTTCCTCGTCCCAGCCATGAAGAACG